GTAACGAGTTCCACAACGTAGTCACCGACTATGACAATGAAATAGAAGAGTTTCTGATGAGCAGCATACTGTCCCGCTATCCGGAGCACAAGTTCATTGGCGAGGAGGATACGCACAAGAACAACAATATAACGAAAGAGCTAACAGACGCGCCCACCTGGATCATAGATCCCATCGATGGGACCTCCAATTTCATTAAACAAATCCCACACGTGTCCGTTTCCATTGGCCTCTCAATTAATAAGCAAATCGTGCTGGCAGTTGTGAATAATCCAGCCCAGGGCAAGCTCTACACAGCGAAGCTGGGACAAGGCGCCTTCTGCAATGGTGAGCCCATTCGAGTGAGCAACTGTGAGCGTCTGAACGATGCTAATGTGGCCTATGAGGTGTGTTTGCTGCACGAGCCAACGATAAGGAACAAGCACATCAAACGCATCTACTACGTGGGCTCACAGGCGAGACGGTGTGTAGAGATCCTTCTATATCACTCATCTTATCTAATCTGTTTGCTCCTCTTCTTATCAGCTTGATTGGCTATTCGGCTGTGGTGGATTCCCTCTGCATGGTCGCCGCCGGCAACTTGGACGCCTTTCACATTGAGGATATGTACCCCTGGGACTGTGCTGCTGGCTATTTGCTGATACGCGAAGCCGGCGGCGTTGTAACCCATCCCTATGGTGGGCCCTTTGACATTATGAAGCCAGATCTGATTTGTGCTGGCACAGAAGCACTGAGATTGCAAATTGAAACTCTTATACGCAAGGCAGATCAAGCCAAGTCTGTGGGAGGTGAAGACGATATTTGAATATAAACTTAATGAATGAGCCAATAAATGCATACATACTCTATCGAACTCAATTACTCTTTTACTTGATACACCTATTTTCTTATACATTTCACACAGTTTAATAACAATAAATTGAACTTGAAATGTCTCACATCACATCGGTTAATAAACTTTCCACTCCCTATCAATTGCGTTCTATTATATCTAAATTAAAGCCTAAATGCTTTAAATACCCTACTATATATTATGTTGATTAATTGACGTCTTATCAGCTGACCCCATTTTACATTGTCTGAATCTTAATTACAGATTTAAAAGGAGATGTTGACAGGGTAATCAAGCCATAGATTAAAATTATCTTTTATTCTCGTCTATAATCTTGTACAGAATTCAACAAGAATAAACATACTTTACACATTAATAAAGTTCAAAGTTTCGAGTCGACTAGAGAGCTTTTGGGCAAAGCTTTTGCAAGCTGCCTGCTCACAACTCAATTAGATATTAAAAATTCAGTGGTTAGCATCAGTTGGTCGAGTGCAAAGCGAACAAAATGAGCTCAACGTCTGAGTCAAAATTGCAGGAGTATTACGAAGTGGCGCTGGACTTGGTGAAGCAATGCGGACCCCTGCTAATGGAGGGCTACAGCAAGCCCAAAACTGATTTTACTGTTAAGAAAGACTTCTATGATCTGGTCACTGTGTATGACAAACAGATTGAGGATTTTCTAACCGCGGGCTTGCTGAAAGCCTTTCCCGAGTCGCTAATCATCGGCGAAGAGGAATCGGCAACTAGCAAACGCGACGCCGAGTTAACTGATGCCCCCACCTGGATTATTGATCCCATTGATGGCACCACAAATTTCGTCCATCGCATACCACATTGCTGCATTTCGGTGGGTCTGACCATCAACAAGGAGCTCGTCGTGGGCATCATCTATAATCCGCCGGGCAATGAATTGTTCTCGGCATGGAAAGGGCACGG